TCCATATCTGCCATTGTGAGACTGTTCACTGAAGGCTAGCTTTAAACTGACATACTCTAAGTCATTACCTCAAAAGCATTAAAAACTATATAAAAAATCTTGAATGCTAGATGACATTTTCATTTTTGAAAATCATATTTAAGTTGACTTTCCTTATTCTAAAAACTTTTGTTTGTGAAAAATTCCTTAGTATCTGTTACTATCTGTTGTTTTGCGTGTTGTTCCTTAGATATGTTCAGCATATGATCCATGGTAGAACTTAAATTTTATGGTGAATAATTTGTTAAAAACTAACTTACATTCATTTCATAAGAAATAATTGATTATCAAAAAGCAACAAATTGTTAGCCTTTGAATTTAAAATGATAATTGCTTAGGTCTACAACATATTTAGGATTACGATATGATCCGAATTTAACCTCAGGACTTAGCTGTAACTATGTTTCAATCTTTATCATTTCAATTCGTAGGTTTATTAACTAGTAAAAAAAGAAGTGATACTAAATGTTCATTTTATATATTTATATTATGACTTATTACAAAGGAGACGAATATCTTTGGAAGGAAGCACGAATATTGTATGTCCGATTTGTATGCAAATATATTCTTTTAAGCGAATCAGTCTTAATACAAACTGTTTAGTTTCGTGATCAACTGTTTAGTTTCATGATTCATTCCTACTAACTGTCGCTATGGATTTAAATATGTGCCTCTTGGGATAATTGGGATGTTTTTACTAGCCTCATGTTCAAAGTTTAAAATCAGGATTAACACTTATCCTCTTAGATGTGTACATAAAGGATTTGCCTTGCTTTGAATTTAAAAATTCACCATTTACATTAAAAGGGATTTAGAATTTAATATTAAACTTAAGTAGCCAACAACAAAATTTAATATTTATCCCTTTGAATTTGTAAATAGACTCACAACGCTTTGATATATATATATGGCAAAGGCCAGATCTTAAGGCATGGTTTTGTGCAAGTTCAGATCTAAAGCCATTTTAAAGGCAAAGGCAGCGTTAAAAGTCATGTTTAGTAAGGAAGGTTGCTTTCATTAAAATGATTGAAGAAGTAGTATTTCTACAATGGCATCGTTTTAAGATCAGAAATGATTCTGTTAATCTTAACGATTTTATTGGACAGTGCACTGAACATAAGTCAATTGGTGGCAATGGTTGAATATGATGCAATAACTAGTAGCTAAGGGATATTTTAAGCAGCTCTTATGAGATAAAAATGCACTTTTAAATCCACTTATATATCAGCTTTGGTACTTGAAATGGAACATAAATACGCAGAAATAGATAAATAAAAAGGATTGATTTTTAGTGATATTTTGCCCTATGTGAGTTAATAGCAATTTTCATTTCTGGGGTCTTTTTGCACAATAACAATGATTGTCCTGTTAAATCGGAGTTTGAGAATGATGATTATTCTGGAAAACTGGAATGTGAGGAATGATCTGAAATGTAGCATTCAAGTTTATATTAGTCTATCAAGTGGAACATTGTATCTTAACAGTGTATATTCCTCAAGCGTTACCTCAGCGCGAAATTGATTAAGAAAAAAGTATTCGTACATGTATTCCAAACTTATCATCTTATATGTATTTTACAAGCACATAATATATGATTGGATTTATAAATGTTTCTGAAGATTTAATCAAACCAGAGTATTTACATTGCAGAAAATAATGTAATTAAATGATAAAGATATAAAATGGCAATTTTCAGAAAAATGATGGATGATGCAAGCAGGTTAATTTAATGATCTTTTTTAACATGTTAATGTTTAAATTGACACAAACCTTCTATGCATTTGATTTGTTTCTGAAATGGATGTTTTATAGCTTTGATGTTAATGTAAATAATCCATGCGTGCTGATACAGTAACAATTTATTACCTGACATGTCAATTTCTCTGTTCTGCAAAACTAGTTGATTTCCTTGTAATTTAATTAAGGAAACTGACAAAAAAATGTTGTTTTTTTATAAATAGGAAAACGTCAATTAGATTGATTACAAGAGATAGTTAGGTCAGTCACATTAGTTAGCAAACAGTAACGAGACATTTGCCTGACAACATTCTTTGTTTTGTAGTTAAGTCATTGGCATTACCTACCGAATGATATGGAAATCCTTGACTGTCTTATGATTATAAAAATGAACATTGTTGTGTCACTTTTTACAATGTGCATTTATGAATATATTATGTAGATGCATCCTTATATGAAGTCAACTGAACAATATATGATGTTAATGTGTCTAATTATATGATGTCAACCAATCATTATACGATGTGCATTTATGAATATATGATATGGTACAATCATTATATACAGTCAGCTTATCAATATATTATGTTATTCTTTCATTATACGATGTGCATCTATTATTATACGATATGCATAAATTTTATTAATATATTATGTGGTTGCATCATTATATACAGTCAACTTATCAATATATTATGTGAATCTTTCATTATACGATGTGCATCTATTGTTATACGATCGCTGCTTTATATGAAGTGCAAACATCATTATATCGTGTGCTTCTGTCATTATACTGATGGGGTTAAATTTACCGGGTTATATCTCACAATGCACCGTTCGTGGCAACAGCGGGAAAACTCAAAGATAGTGGTAAGCTGACTCTATATAGAGACAATTCTACATAATGTAGTGTTGTTTTGACTCTCTCTATATAAGAATGATTCCACATAATATATTCGCAATTGCACATCTTATAATGAAAAACTGGCATCATATAAGGACAAATTCACATCATATATTGTTAAGTTGACTGACTATATAAGGATGGTTCCACATAATATATTCATTAATGCACATCGTTTAATGAAAGACTGACATCATATAAGGACATGTTGACATCATATAATGTTAAGTTGACTCTATATAAAGACAGTTCTACATGATATAATGTTGTTTTGACTCTATATAAGACTGGTCTCACATAATATATTCGCAATTGCACATCATATATATGATGATAATGAAAGACTGACACAATATAAGGACATATTGACATGGTAATTATATTGTTATCATGACTCTATATAAGGATGGTTTCACAAATATGATATAATAAAAAATGTGCATCATATAATGATAGATTGACATCATATAAAGACGCGTTGACATCATATAATGCTGACTCTATATAAGAATTATTCCACATAATATATTCATAACTTCACATCATATAATGGCAGACTGACATCATATAAGGACAGATTTACATCATATATTGTTATTTTGACACAATATATTCGAAAATGCACAACATATAATGATGGATTGACATCATATAAAACACGTTGACATCACATATTGTTCAGTTGACTACATATAAAGATGGATCCACATAATATATTAATAAGTGCACATTGTATAAGGAAAGGTTGACTCAATATATTGCTATATGAACGTAATAACATTTAGGTTTATAATTATAAGACAGTTAAGGCTTTCCATAGATTGATACCTGTTAAGGTACATGTAAAAAGTGATATTTGCTGGAAGGTCGTAATGTATTTGTCTATGTTAAAGTAAAAATATCTGGAAAAAGGGTGATTCTTTGGAATCATTAATCACAACAAGATAAAATGAAAATTGCAGACACGGTTTCAATTCGTACATGAACAATAATGAAGAAGTTCAATATGCAGACAGGGTTTGAATTCGTACATGAAAGATAATGAAGAAGTTCAATATCCCTCACGCCCCCTAGCACAAACTTGGGCGGTACTTAATTTGCAGGATAAAATATTTCAATGAACAGTTTTGGTATTGGACAGAAAGCTATTAAACATACATTGATACATTATTGTGTTTTCTTCATTTCACGTTTTTGAGTAAAAGATTTTGAGTTGTCATTCCATATTATTTTGATTAAATTAATTGTTTGGGTAAATTTACTAATGTGCAAATAGGATTTGTTATATAAAGGTAATGGATGTTCATTGTGTTAATGTTACTGATATGATAACAATTACATTGTAACTGTCTAACAACTTAATCATTTAGCATTTCATTGTTTATATTGTAATAGGTTTTAAAACAAACAGTATAATAAACTAATCAAATATCATCCTACCTGACATCTATTCTCATCATTTGAATAAACAATTAATAAAATTAAAAAGTGATTTTACTATGTTCAAATCATCGCCCTTTTTTATTTATATGATGCAAATTAGTAAGCTATTATTTTTTTTTTTGTTTCATAAGTAAGAAACTCAAACCGCCTCCGTGGTCGAGTGGTTAGAGTTGATGGCTTCTAATCCAGTTACCTCTCTGGCGTGGGTTCGATCCCCAGGAGATGCTTTGGTAGTTTAGCGCGGAGGAAGGTAGTCAAGTACTGGTGTAACTCTCCAGGAACGATGGTTAGGAAACCACCCGCCTATATGACTGAAATACTGTTGTAAAAAGGCGGTAAATGACACAAACAAACAAACAAGAAACTCGATTATTTAACACATTAAATGCGTTTCTGAAATTTCTTTTGAGATGATAGATTTTCATGAGCTTAAAGATTTGTAGTTTTTCTATCTGGCAATTGAACATATATAACATTGCATGGTCATCTCTAAACAAAGTCAACATTAAATGTATTAAGATTGTGTATTACAGTATTTGAATTATCAGCAAATTTTGTTCCGCAGACTTACTTGATAAAATTGATTCTGCGGCGTATAAATTCATTCACGAGTTTTCATGAACTATAATTCTAGCTTAAATTTTCAATTGCATTCTTTCTGTAAGTTTCATATTAATCTAACAATCAGTTACTTTTGTTGCAGTTGTTTCAATATCAGTTCAGTAGTCACTGAGAAAAGTTTGCTGTACATCTAAAATGAAAATATAAGCTGTCTTGCTTCTAAGTATAGAATATCATACAATTACCAAGGATTTGATTGATTTATAACAAAAGAGCATGTGAAAAAGAAATACACTGTATGTATTTTTTATTTCAGGGAAAAGATCTATGTGAGCTTAGACGACATACATATGCAAACACTGTAGATTACAGAACTCTAAAGAAGCTTGTGCAGAAAGTGTTTCCTTCATGTCGCTGTAGAGATGTGCATGAACGACATGCTCAAGCAAAATTTGAGGTAGTTTTACAAAATATTCAAGTTTCAATTTCTTAAAATTTACTATTGTCCCAACGTTTTGGACATTCAGTAACTTTACGCCATGATTGTAATTTCTTGTGGACAACAATTGTAATTCAATGTACAGTCAGTTTATAGGTTACTAATCACAAAAATAAAAAAATCTTGTTGTTATCAACAATCATAATTATGACTGCATAAAATAATTCCGGTAAAAATTGAGTAAATGCTTCCCAAATGAAAACTCCAAGATACTCATTCTTAGTCATTCTCATTGCAGTGTTTGAACCATCTGCGCTTTCTATGTTTGTGTTTTAGTGTTAAGATAGCTCACTTTCAGGGTAATCAACTCTTGACTGCCTGTCTTTGTCAGATCTGGCCTAAAGCATGTGTTTGCAACCTTGTTTGTTACAAGGTAATGGTTGTACATTGTGTAAATGTTACTGATATGATAAAAGTTACATTGTAACTGTCTAACAACTTAAAAGTTGTCAACTTAAAACTCTTTGATCCTATTCAATCCGTTTCTAGCTCATTACCTAAAACAACCTGACAAATACCTAGAACAGAATGAAATATTATGTTTTTTTAGCATGCCTTTTTACACTTGCCCTCCTTTATTAACTTCATATATTTGGTATGTATGAGCCTTACATTGACATAAATTTTTTGCCCCCCACTATAAGGGGGACATTTAGATTTACCCTTGTTCGTCCGTCCTTCCGTCCATCTGTACAAACCCAGAGGAACTTCTGTGACTTGGAGAACAATGGGTAACAGTAAATTCTCTTTGATCCTTGACAAACCGTTTTTAGCACAGTGACAGGGTGAGCTTTTGTGATTGCTTTTCGTCTGGCGTCCGTCAGTCGTCCGTCCGTAAACTTTTACTTTAAATGGCATCTCCTCATAAACCATTAAGCCAATTTCATCCAAACTTCACAGGAATGTTCCTTTGGTGGTCACCTTTAAAAATTGTTCAAAGAATTTAATTCCATGCAGAACTCCGGTTATCATGGCAACCGAAAGAAAAAAATTAAATATCTTCTTTAAAAGAAAACCCTAAGAGCTAGATTTTAGATATTTGGCATGAAACATCTTCTAGTGAGTGTCTACCAAGTTTGTTCAAATAAAAGCCCTTGGGTCAAAATTGGCCCCGCCCAAGGGGGTCATTGATTTTTCCCTGTATGCATATAATAAAAACTTAAAAATGAAAGGACCCAAAGAGCTAGAGCTGAGATATTTAGCATGAAACATCTTCTTATGAGTGTCTACCAAGTTTGTTCAAATATGAGCCCTGGGTCAAAATTGGCCCGCCCCAGATGGTCATTGATTTTCCCTATATGCATATAGTAAAAACTTATAATATCTTCTTTTAAAGAACTGAAAGAGCTAGAGCTAAGATATTTAGCATGAACATGTTCTAATGGGTGTCCACTAAGTTTGTTCAAATAAAAGCCCTGGGGTCAAAATTGGCCCGCCCCGGGGTCATTGATTTTCCTATTATGTGTATAGTAAAAACTTAAAAAATCTTCTTTGAAAAAACCCAAAAAGCTAATGTTTAGATATTAAGCATGAAATATCTTCTAGTAAGTGTCTACAAAGTTTGTTCAAATAAAAGCCCTTGGGTCAAAATTTGCCCCGCCGGGGGGTCATTGATTTATCTTATTTGGTAAAGCAAGAACTTAAAATTCTTCTTTGAAAAACCCAAATAGCTAGTGTTTAGATATTAAGCATGAAACATTTTATAGTAATCTCTACAAAGTTTGTTCAAATAAAAGCACTGGGGTCAAAACTGGCCCCGCCCCAGGGGTGTTATTGTTTTTAACTATATGTGTATAGTAAAAACTTAAAAACATCTTCTTTTAAAAAGCCTAATGAGCTAGAGCTTAACATGTTTAACATGAAACATCTTCTTATGGGTGTCTACCAAGTTTGTTCAAATAAAAGCCCTCGGGTCAAAACTGGCCCTGTCGGGGGGAGGTGAGATCATTGTTTTTCCTTTATGTGTGTAGTAAAAACTCATGAAACATCTTCTGATGAGTGTCTTCCAAGTTTGTTCAAATAAAAGCCCTTGGGTTAAAACTGGCCCCGCTCCGGGGGTCTATATACAGGTGAGCAACCTCAGGGCCATCATTGCCCTCTTGTTACTTGTTTGTCTTTTTTATATGCCCGAAAGAATTTCGGGCATATTATGTTATACCCCCTGGCGTCAGTCCGTCTGTCTATCCGTCCGTCTGTCCGTCCGTCCGTTAGCAATTTGGTTTCCGGAGCATAACTTATGTTCCATTTGGCCCACAACATTCAAGCTTCATAGGATGATTGCCCATATTGGGTACAAGACCCCTATTGATTTTGGGGTCACAAGGTCAAAGGTCAAGGTCACTATCACCTTAAAACTGAAAACAGTTTCCGGAGCATAACTTAAGTTTCATTTGGCCCGCAATATTAAAACTTCATAGGATGATTGTCCATATTGGGTAGAAGACCCCTATTGATTTTGGGGTCACAAGGTCAAAGATCAAGGTCACTATCACCTAAAAATGAAAACATTTTCCGGGGCATAATTTAAGTTCCATTTGGCCCACAGTTTTCAAACTTCATAGGATGATTGTCCATATTGTGTCCATATTGGGTAGAAGACCCCTATTGATTTTGGGGTCACAAGATCAAAGGTCAAGGTCACTATCACCTTAAAACTGAAAACAGTTTCCGGAGCATAATTTAAGTTCCATTTGGCCCACAGTGTTCAAACTTCATAGGATGATTGTCCATATTGGGTAGAAGACCCCCATTGATTTTGGGGTCACAAGGTCAAAGGTCAAGGTCACTATAACCTCAAAACTGAAAACAGTTTCCAAAGCATAATTTAAGTACCATGTGACCCACAGTGTTCAAACTTCACAGGATGAATGTCCATATTGGGTAGGAGACCCCTATTGACTTTTGGGTCACAAGGTCAAAGGTCAAGGTCGCTATTACTTTAAAACTGAAAACAGTTTCCGGAGCATAACTTAATATCTATTTGGCCCACAAGATTCAAACTTCATAGGATGATTGTCCATATTGGGTAGAATACCCCTATTGATTTTTGGGTCACAAGGTCAAAGGTCAAGGTCACTATTACTTTAAAACTGAAAACAGTTTCCGGAGCATAACTTAATTTCTATTTGGCCCACAAGATTCAAACTTCACAGGATGAATGTCCATATTGGGTAGGAGACCCCATATTGATTTTTGGGTCACAAGGTCAAAGGTCAAGGTCACTATTACTTTAAAACTGAAAACAGTTTCCGGAGCATAACTTAATTTCTATTTGGCCCACAAGATTCAAACTTCATAGGATGATTGTCCATATTGGGTAGAATACCCCTATTGATTTTTGGGTCACAAGGTCAAAGGTCAAGGTCACTATTACTTTAAAACTGAAGACAGTTTCCGGAGCATAACTTAATTTCTATTTGGCCCACAATATTCAAACTTTATAGGAGGATTGCTATTGGAAGGAGGTAATACTTTATTTAATTTATGTAATGTCTTACAAATGCTTCATCCTTAATATATAAAAAAAAAACTTCGGGCATATGATGCTCCGCCTAGCGGTGCTCTTGTTTAAGCCTTGTGTGACTAAAAATGGCTATAAAGATCAAAGGAAAAGTCACATGAGTACCATTTCGTAAGTACGTTCGTCCGTCTGTCCTTTCTCTTTTTGTGTCGAACGTAGCTCAAAAATATTTGACCTAGAGTCATGAAACCTTACAGGAATGAAGCACATTATGTGTAGTTGTGCCCCTGTGTATTTTTGGTGTGGATATTTTTAGCTCACCTGAGTATAATTATGCTCATGGTGAGCTATTAGGATCACTCTTTGTCCGTCGTACGTCTTCCGTTGTCCGTTCACACTTTTCAAACGACATCTCCTCTGAAACCATAAGGCAGATCATAATGAAACTTCACAGGGATGTTCCTTGTGTGAAGCCTTAACAAAGTTGTTCAAATAATTCCATTCCATGCGGAACTCTGGTTGCCATGGCAACCAAAAGAAAAATCTTTAAACATCTTCTTCTAGATAACCCAAAGAGCTAGAGCTTAGATATTTGGCATGAAACATCTTCTAGTGAGTGTCTACCAAGATTGTTCAAATAAAAGCCCTGGGGTCAAAATTGGCCCCGCCCCAGGGGGTCATTGATTTTCCCTATAGACATATAGTAAAAACTTTAAAAAATCTTCTTTTAAAGAACCCAAAGAGCTAGACCTAAAATATTAAGCATGAAACATCTTCTAATGAGTGTCTACCAAGATTGTTCAAATAAAAGCCCTGGGGTCAAAATTGGCCCCGCCCCAGGGGGTCATTGATTTTCCTTATATGCATAAAGTAAAAACTTAAAAAAATCTTCTTCTAAAAATCCCAAAGAGCTAGAGCTTAGATATTTGGCATAAAACATTTTCTAATGGATGTCTACCAAGTTTGTTCAAATAAAAGCCCTGGGGTCAAAATTGGCCCCGCCCCAGGGGGTCATTGATTTTCCCTATATGCATATAGTAAAAACTTAAAAAAATCTTCTTTTAAAGAACCTTAAGAGCTAGACCTAAGATATTAAGCATGAATCATCTTCTAATAAATGTCTACCAAGATTGTTCAAAAAAAGCTCTGGGGTCAAAATTGGCCCCGCCCCAGGGGGTCATTGATTTTCCTTATATGCATATAGCAAAAACTTAAAAAAATCTTCTTCTACAAAACCAAAAGAGCTAGAGCTTAGATATTTGGCATTAAACATGTTCTAATGGATGTCTATTAAGTTTGTTCAAATAAAAGCCCTGGGGTCAAAATTGGCCCCGCCCCAGGGGGTCATTGATTTTCCCTATATGCATATAGTAAAAACTTTAAAAAATCTTCTTTTAAAGAACCCAAAGAGCTAGACCTAAGATATTAAGCATGAAACATCTTCTAATAAGTGTCTACCAAGATTGTTCAAATAAAAGCCCTGGGATCAAAATTGGCCCCGCCCCAGGGGGTCATTGATTTTCCCTACATGCATATAGTAAAAACTTTAAAAAAATCTCCTTCTAAAGAACCCAAAGAGCTAGAGCTTAGATATTTGGCATGAAACATCTTCTAGTGAGTGTCTACCAAGATTGTTCAAATAAAAGCCCTGGGGTCAAAATTGGCCCCGCCCCAGGGGGTCATTGATTTTCCCTATATGCATAAAGTAAAAACTTTAAAAAATCTTCTCTTAAAGAACCCAAAGAGCTAGAGCTAAGATATTAAGCATGAAACATCTTCTTGTCAGTGTCTACCAAGTCTGTTCAAACAAAACCCTAGGGTCAAAATTGGCCCCGCCCAAGGGGGTCATTGATTTTCCTTATATGCATAAAGTAAAAACTTAAAAAAATTTCTTTTAAAGAACCCAAAGAGCTAGAGCTAAGATATTTAGCATAAAACATGTTCTAATGGGTGTTTACAAAATTTGTTCAAATAAAAGCCCTGGGGTCAAAATTGGCCTGGTCCCAGGGGTCATTGATTTTCCCTATATACATAGAGTAAAAAGTTAAAAATCTTCTATTAAAGAACCCAAAGAGCTAGAGCTGAGATATTTAGCATGAAACATGTTCTAATGGATGTCTACCAAGTTTGTTCAAATAAAAGCCCTGGGGTCAAAATTGGCCCCGCCCCAGGGTTCATTGATTTTCCCTATATGCATATAGTAAAAACTTAAAAAAATCTTCTCTTATAGAACCCAAAGAGCTAGAGCTAAGATATTAAGCATGAAACATCTTCTTGTCAGTGTCTACCAAGTTTGTTCAAACAGAACCCTGGGGTCAAAATTGGCCCCGCCCCAGGGGGTCATTGATTTTCCCTATATGCATATAGTAAAAACTAAAAAAAAATTCTTTTAAAGAACCCAAAGAGCTAGAGCTAAGATATTTAGCATAAAACATGTTCTAATGGGTGTCTACAAAATTTGTTCAAATAAAAGTCCTGGGGTCAAAATCGGCCCCGTCCAAGGGGTCATTGATTTTCCCTATATACATAGAGTAGAAAGTTAAAAATCTTCTATTAAAGAACCCAAAGAGCTAGACCTTAGATATTTAGCATGAAACATGTTCTAATGGATGTCTACCAAGTTTGTTCAAATAAAAGCCCTTGGGTTAAAATTGGCCCTGCCAGGGGGAGGGGGGGGGGGGCAAAAGTCATTGTTATTTCATAATTTGTGTATAGTAAAATCTTAACATCATGAAATATCTTCTAATGGGTGTCTTCCAAGTTTGTTCAAATAAAAGCCCTTTGGTTTAAACTGGCCCGGCCCTGAGGGCCTATGTTCAGGTGAGCGACCCCAGGGCCATCATGGCCCTCTTGTATATTTTTTGTTTTAGGTTTAGAGTTATTGCCCTTGACTTAGTATAAATTTACAGAAATCAACTTGTGTTGTACGTAACACAGAAAGTATTTGGCCTGTAGGCCTGAAAGTTTTCAAGAATATTGGTCAGCATATCTACTTATGCTTTAGGCTTGGGGTTTTCTTGTGGATTTATGTAGTATTTGTAGTATTTGCCCTTTACTTGATAAAAGATTTTTATTTTCCAACTTGGGCAGATGTAGCCAAAAAAAATTGACCTCAAGACATAAGATTGACAAATCGGTGGAGTGTGGGGGCCACGTGTCCTATGGACACATTTCTAGTTTGGCTTTGATTTAATACAATTAGGGTCAATGTCGCTTAAGCTAAAAATAGATTATGCTACGTTTCTTCAGAATTTCGTCTCTTATAAAATATGTTATTTTAAGGAGCATTAATTAATGCCACAAATTCTCATGTTTGAAAAGCTGTCCAAAACCATTAATGTATTTCGATTGGAACACAAGTGTTCCGTTTTTTCTACATTTATGTCCCCACAAAAGAAACCTCTTAAAATATCTTAATGTAATATCAATATGTTAGTAAATAGTATTGTATCTACAGGGTACGGTAGGATTTCTAATACAATAAAAGCACATAATGTCTTAAAAGGCAAAATTGAAAATGCTCTATTTGATAAGCCGGACAGCAGTCCACACTAGCAAATTTATTGTAACACTTTGATCTCGAAATGTCATTTTCGTCATGTAAACATTATTGGGAATGTCAAGACGAAATAACTCAGACCAAAGTTTATATAAATCTTGACAGCTGTTATATTGTTTTTTTATGGGTTAGACAAAAAAATAATACGAAAAATAAAACATTGGGCTTACTTCATGCTATAAAAATTTATCCACCAAAAAGAAGACGAGTTTAAAATGATATTTATAATCAAAGGTTACGATGTCATTGACACGTGATAATGTTACATAAGTTACAATCAAAGTGACAAACATGCATATTTAGTGTCATCTGAACATTTTAATGCTTATTTTAACTTCTTGAAAACGGCGTATCGTTCAAAATTAAAGGAATTATTTTGAATTTAATGAGACACCACTGGATGCAATCAAATGAAATTAAATTTAAAAGGGTTACACATAGGGATCAAATGTTTGAATCCATAACTTCTTGACTTTAAGGGATGATTAAATTTGGACCAAATTATAACAACCTTGACACGATGTGTTTAGGATGTCCGTAGTGCAACAATAGACCGTCAAGGTTTCTCAAAGGTTAAAGATACTGTTATGTGCACAACAGCATAGATACGCATGCTACTTTTCACACGACAGTTTTATCAAATACAATGTACCTGTTACATCATATTCTTGTCCATTCTGAAATCATGCAAAGTTTCAGTTTATCGTTTAACGAGTTTATATTTTACCTCTTTGTTTATACGAAAACTATTTGCATACATCTAATTATGATGCTTGTGTCTCAGATATGAGTTAAAATTCCTATACAAATATTGTGTATAGTTAGTTGTATTTAACTTTTGATTTTGTACACTTATATTTGTAAAGCCAGTTCGTGCTGTGAAACTGTATTTGTTAATTGTAAAAGAGATATAATATGAAAATTTCAAAACTAAATAGATGTTTTTGTTTGAAATGTAAGGACTGCTGGCCTGACCAAATCCACTAGGCATACAGTTAAGTTAATAAAGTTGCAAGATATTTGAAACAAATTTGAAAAATATAAAAATTATACTTCTCAAAGACATGATTAGTTTGAAAAATGAATGAATAAAAAATATTAATATATCATTCAAAACTAGTGGAGATATTTTCAATAAAATATAATCAATAAATGTAGGTTATTTGATAATGAAACACTCTCATTTCTTAACAATTTAGGCGGAGATGTTTGATGATGATTTTGATATGGAAGAGCAGACTTCTGAAGCTGATAAAGAAGGCAATGACTTAAATGTTAAAGATGAAGAGTCTTGTGATCCCAGTCCACAAACAAATGATGTACTACCAAAACGAAGGTTGTGTCCGGGTCATGAGCGAGCCTTGCCTATACAGCAAACAGTCATGGATCTTGATGTAAAAGAAGAAGGTACAATAATAAATTAAAGTCAAAAACAAAACAAACAAAAAAAGAAAATAAATGAAATGACTAGTTATGTAAACATGTGTGAACTTAGCATTTAAAACTATTTTAAGTGGCAGCATGGCCGAGTGGTTAACGCTTCAAACTAGTAATCTTATGATCGCTACCCACATGGTTTAAACCCTAACAGGGACAAGTCGTTGTTTTCTTGAGCAAGAAACTTTACACTTATTGCTCAGTACTGGTTGGTTCCAGGAACAAATTCGAAAGTCTGTTTATAAGCTAATAGCTTCCTGCACAATCGAACTAAAATAAATTCTGTATAAACCAAACTATTAAGGCGATTTGAGTCGATGTTCAGTTTCATTTATAAATACTTGAAAAAGTGTTGGTTTTGAATTTTGAAAGAAGTAACTAATGACCGTTTTGCTTTTAAAATGACCTTTAAAAGATTGAACTAAAGGATTCTTGTTATTTGTTTGTGACAATGTGTCAAAACTATGGAAAACAGTTGGTATTTTCTTTAATGAATAATAGGTAAAGTACAAGGCTCTTACTCATACTGTTTGACTGCTGAGATTTGCCTTCATATTTATCTGGTCTCTTACTTCCTGCTCATCATTACAGGAAGACAAATCTTTATTCAACATGTGTGATCTAATGATAAATTGTCACGTTTATTGAAATGTCATTTGCTGTGACTGTTATTTACGATAGCTTCAAACTAATTAACGTTTGGTTTTAAACCTTGAAATAATAATTGCTTTACTGTTTGATTGTCAAAATGGGTATATACTGAGTCAGTGTTCATTTTTTTTCACTGTTTTTAATAAAAACATCAATGTGATCATTGTTACAAAAACATTTTTTACAGCTTTTAATCAAAATACAGGTGCTCTTAACAAATTTCTTTTACCCTTACTACATATATCTACAACATAAATGTCCTTGGCTGGCTGGACGTTGACTTCAGACCACTTGTCCATGCCTTTGTGAGTTTGAAACCCGTCGAGGACTGGATTCTCTGAGAATCGATCTATAGGGCTTACAGAACGTTAGCCATTTTACTTAACGTCCCATTCGTATCTTAAACACTACACAGAGGGGTTACTGACGGAGGTCTTCCTACACCTGTCAAGTAGGAAAGTTGCCATATAATATCTACAGTGTTTGTGCGACGTAAATAAATAAATTGGTTTTATGTTTCTTTTTCAGGCATTTCAACATTATTGTGTTACCTTGAACTTCATGATAGTCAGTGGTTAGAAAACATGTCCAACGTGTATGCAACATGTAAAGTCCAATGCTACGGTGGTCCAAACCAACTTCAGGCTGTTGCTAAGAAGGTAGTACTTTGATTACATTTTGGTAAAAATATTCCTAATTAAAATACTTCAGATTAAAACCTGTTTTAATAATTGTAGTTTTAGCCACTGAAATTAAAACACGAAAATGGTGGAGGCAAAAAATGACATAGCTTAATTTGCCACAATAAAAACTGAAGAGTTCAAGAACATTCTAAAGATTTTATTTCATATCAGACAATCTATTGTAATTGATACCACTATATGTTAAATTGCTTGTATCTCTTTTAGTGTCCACCAGTGGCTGTTGCAATAGCTTCTGCTCGCAGAGATGGCAAAAGTTTCACAAATACCAACAGTATTGAATTTAATGTTGTTGATGTTAGTGATACTATGGGCTGGGACAGTGGACCAGTGAAAAAGGAAATAAAACTCTTACAATGGAATTTTGATTTAGGTAATCTAAACATTTCATAAAACTGTAAAAAGAAAATAAGAAGTTTGAAATTTAAAAAACAGATGCAATTATGTTTCTTAAGAGTGAAGTAGTATGTGCTGTCACATGGCATTAAAGGATTTTTTTATAATTCTAAATCGAAGGATCAGACACTGAAGCGATTTCTGTAGTATTCATTTCTTTCTTACTCTGTAATTAAATGAAACAGGTGTTGATTGAGACATGTAAATTCGAGCTATTCCTTTTGAAATTGTTTAAATTTAAATGACAGAATAATTTTTTTATCAAGATAAACGTTTATTTGTCTTCAGGTGGTCCAAAGAGAACAGGTGTGATGATAGAATTTTCTGATCTTGCTTACCATTTTAGAACACCGGGAGATTTCACTACTGAAGAATTAGACAGCATTTTACAATTTATGCATGAACGTGTACAACGACAAGAGAAAACTGAAATACGCAATTTATCAAATTTATACCAAGCATTGAAAAGGTAACTCAATTTAATGAAAATGAATATTGTTGAACAAAAAAGATTAATTGTTTTGTGATTGATGTTAAAAGGATACTCTGTAAAATTTTCATTTATATTGTAAAATTAAAAAAAAAATATTTTGCTTTGAATTTGATTAAAACGCAATCGGATATAAGTCTGTCTAAATGCCTATAAAGATAAAATGTGAAATTCATTGAAAGATCATCTGTTACTCTAAAAACAGAAAGATGTGCAAATAATTATGAGAAAATATAAACATTATTCAATTGAGAATCTTTCTGTGTACTATACCTTGACCGATTTTAGTGACAAGCGTTGGAACACTTCACAATTAAAATAATTTTCCTGCCACAACGTAGGGACTGAATGAGCTGTAATTTTGCTCACAATTTATTGGTTTTGACCTTTATCGGGTCCCGTCATGCAGAGAACATCGGTGATTATGATATTTATAAACAATATGATTAAAACTTAACGTGATTAAACTCTTGCTCTTTTAAGAAAATTAGGTATTCCATAGATGTTTCCGAAAAATAAATTGACTTTAACTTAAATTGATATATTATTAATATAACCTCATTAGCAAATATTGCTTTTACAATTACAGCGTGTCTCATAGAAACAACTATATGTGTTCAGACGAGGCTGATCTGAGTAAGAATGATAAACTTAAGGTGATCTTAAACAAATATTTTGATCAGCAACTTGTCAACAAAGAAGAAGAGGATCTTGATGATATCCAGGAGGAACCAGTAATTATTCATTTTTGCCCGTATTTTTTCCTTTTGTTTCGCTTGTCTCTCATATAAGCTGTTGGTTGGCCTTAACCTGTGGCATGTATTAAGTTTCTGAAAAAAGATGTTTTTAACAAAAGCTTTTGGAGAAAAGAATTTAATTACATTTAGTTTTTACCGTCTTCTTCAGTTCTTAAACAATTCCTTTTTTGAATTATTTTAGTGTATTTCTTTTCAGATTCCTGAATTTTCCCGTGGTCAGTTGATAAGTGACATCCGAGGGTTTTACAATTTGTACGGACAAGAACATGCCCTCAACGGTCGGGCAATTGCAAGAATCTTCCACGGAATAAGTAGTCCATGTTTTCCAGCGACGACTTGGGGCCGTGTTAGACGGTTCTGGAGAAGCCACCTTGATGTAGACTTTAATGTTCTTATGAAAATGGCAACTAAAGAACTAATTTCATTCCGATGATATGTTAAAAAGGATGAATACACTTCTGTTTATAAAGATTTCTCTAGATTAAGTGTGTTTTACATCAACACAGGTGTTAAGTCTAAATTTTGATTTTGTAAATCTTTAACTATTTAAAGTTTACCTTCATCTTTTGATCTCAAAAGTTGTGAATTGAAACAAAAAGTGTGATAAGCTATTATAGTTTCCTTCGCAAATGCTAAATGAAGAGCTGTATGATTTTAGAGTAGGTAATAAAGTTTTAAAAGAGATTGATTGGCTGTTTGTCCTTTATTTTAGCTAAATATCATATTTATAAACCGCCTTTGTGGTCGTGAGGATAGAGTCGATGACTTCTTATCCAGTTACCTCTCTTGCGTGGGTTCGATCCCCGGGAGATGCTTTGGTAGTTTAGCGCGGAGGAAGGTAGTCTAGTACTGGTATAACTCTCCAGGAAAGATGGTAAGAAAACTACTCGCCTATATGACTGAAATACTGTTGGGAAAAGGCGTAAAAATTAAACAAACAAACAAACAAAATGCAACATATTACTCTTAGCGAGACAATTATGAACACATTATTTGGTTTAACGTTAAATAATTCTTTTGATGTGTACATTTACTAGAATTTTACAGTCTGCTATGTTTGTTTTGCTCATAAGTTCATTACAGGAGATATATTTGGTATCATATCTGATGAAAATATAGCTGAAATAAGTCATATGGCGTGTTTTGATTCATTTTCTACATTAAATGTTTGCTACACATGACACACTGTATCCGCTGATCATCTATCACCGGTCCGTCTATTTCTTTATGTAGCTTTTCCAACAGAACTCGTTATACATTTGTAAATTTGATTAAAACATTAATTTGTCATTAACTGTATACAAATTTTATTTGAGTTACATGCTACCTGTATGCTATCACAGTAGTGTTTTATCTTTAGAATGGAGAGGGGAGCAAGTTGTTGACTATTACATGCATCGCAATGTAAAATCAAATGTCACCGACACTGCTTAATCGAGAATAAAACAATACAAACACTTATTTCGCTTTAAGGTCTCCGTTACAAGCAAAAACATATATACAACAAATTTACAAAAAACTATAGCATGTGCAGTGTTTAAACATATACTGTATGAATATAACTGAAAATGAATGTAAAACATCAAAATTTTCTGGGAGTTCCTTTATCGTCATTGTGTATCAAAGAGATATAAAATGTTTAACTTATTTTTTTAAAAATTGGTATACAAACATATTGCTGTACCCTTTATAAGATCTTCATTTTTGTAGATATTAATATATTAAATTTGTTTTGGGTTGGTGCATTATGGTATTTAATGGGAAAATATAAATTTCTTAGTTCTGCATAAAAAACACAACATAGTAATTAATTAAAAAATTAAACCACAGATATATATATACTAACGGATAGGTAGCTCTGAAAATACACGAAAGTCAGATTCAGGCCCAAAAGGGTGCATCAAATCTCGCAAAATCCAGCGACATAATTATGATAACTTGCGCAAACACAATTCCGTTGATACTGAATTTAACTGTGTGACGTCACAGTTTTTTTCTACATCTATATTTAGCTCCAAGATAAAATCATCTTCTATTACATTCTTAGAACATTTTGTTCATAATCTGTCTTCCCTCAATATCTTTATGTCGCCAGCCTCAATTTTAAGATCATGTGACCCTTTTCCTAAATTTAAGTATATATATATATCTATATTATCTTATGTCTAAAAAATCTTTGTAACATTCATATGAGAAATTTTCCTTATACAAAACATAACATGACAATTTTACATTAGAAGTTACAGATGAATGCCATTCTTGTTGCTATATATCTTTTAACCTATTTACAAATTGGGCTATTTTTCTGATGTAACTGATTGACTTTCCCATACTATCCAAAACCATGACTGTAAAGATGTAACCCAATTGTCGTGACGAATCTATCGTTTGGCATTTAATCATTATTAACACATAATGGATACTATACTTCACAACTGTTTCTAAGCACCATAAGTTAATTTTTATATTATCACAAGTATAAAACATATTTCTTTTCAATTTTTTGGAAAATTCTGATTCAAAAATGTTTTGAGATACTCTCCTGAAATGAATCCATTTTCACTTATCCGTTACAAGTCGTCTAGGAAAGCATGCACCCCAATATTTTCATTTTTTGGGGGTGTACAATCACATGCCTTTTGTTATACGGCAACATGACCGGCTCATTGTCATTAAGTGGCTTATATTTCTGTTGAGGGGTTAGAGTCGATGACATCTAATCCAGTTACATCTCTGGCGTGGGTTCGATCTCCGGGAGATATTTGGTAGTTCAGCGCGGAAAAAGGTAGTCTAGTACTGGTGTAACTCTGAAGGAACGATGGTAAGGAAACTACCCGCCTAAATGACTGAAATACTGTTGGGAAAAGGCGTAAAATGAAACAAACAAACATTTCTTACTTATGCTACTTCGATATATGGTGAATGCTAGCATTAGGCGGCATTTGAGAATAGCAGAGTTATGGAGAGCTGTAGGGATGGTTGCAGCAGGGGGCAACATTCTGTCAGGTCGGTGCGGCGCTTGGTGAATACCACACCATCACTAGAGCCTGGAAGAAAAATACTGGCTACATGGACAGCAACTTCTTTGCATTATGACCTTGCTTATGCTGCAGGGTCCGTTTTTGCACACAGCCGGTATGTAGAAGGCTGCATGAAGGTAATTTGCGGTCAAGAAAGCTAATATATTTCGGTTCCAACAGGGTACAGATTAATATAGGGTTGATATGTTATTTAGGCATTTACTATTGAAACGTCCAGCACAAAATGGATATTATTTTTACCATTGATAGATTAGTTGTGTCAAAGCGGACAATTTATTTCAGACAAATGAGGGACAATCAATTCAGAGAACTTTGCAGCAACCTCGATTATTTATGATTAAACATCTGGCAACATTAACACTTACAATGAATATATAACAAATGTGATGAAATATCAGCATGTTTATAACTAATCTGCATGGAATAACTAATGGAACCAACACTTCACTAAGGTGTTTCTCGTTAATGAAACTCATTTGTTTAAGTCTGTGAATGTAGTATTATCTTGCCTGTTATAAATGGTAATCATTACAAAACTCTCACGGTTATACTCTGTTGTTAAAGTGTTGGTAATTAACTGATGGCAGCTAGTTTTTTTTTATTTTGCATTATAAAATTTGCTTTAGATTAAGCTTACACTTGATCTCTGCCAGTCAGTCAGTCAATATTGTTTGACCTGACATATAATATGATAGAAGCAATGATATAACTGCGAATTTTGAAATCATTATTGTGTGTTTGTGGTTTTAATGATATAGTAATGTACTGACCTTTGAAATTTAACTATTCATCTTCCATTTTCATTAGGATCTAAGTTACAATGACACTGTTAAGGTATGTAGCAACATTCAAGCTTTCCTAATTGAAAAAAAGTGTATAGTTAGACTACAGGGATCTTAAATCATATTTGGCATATGCCAAATCTTATGTCATATATATGACATGAAACGAACCTTAAATGATATATATGACATAAATATGCTGGATCTCAAGGCATGTTGTTGCAAAGGCTTAATCGTAAGTCATATATATGGGGTATAAGGATATTTAGGCATATTTAGACAAAGACTGGAGCATTAGTCATCTTTATAGCATAGGCTGGATCATAAAGCATGTTGGAAGGAAAGGCCGCTAATATTAAAATGATTAAAAAAGAAGTATATTTGCAATGACATCACTGTTATAAGCTCACTCGTTAAACTATACGATGCTTTAACTTGTAAATAGGGGAAAGTGCAGACCTTCATCAGAGGTCATGTGGTTGAAATTTTTGCCTCTTGTAGCAAAGAGGAATTTTAAGGAGCTCAAATGGGACCAAAATCATTATACGCTACATGAAATCCAGTCAAACGATCAACTTAGTCACTAAAAACGGAAAAAAATGCACAAAATAAAATATAAAAAAACGATCTTTAAGTGATATTCTTAGCCCAATTCGAGTTTGTAGCAATTTTCATTTGGGGTCATTTTGCACAATATAATGATTATTTTGTTAAACTGGAGTAAAAGAATGATGATTATTCTGGAAAACTGAAGTGATAGAATGATAAGAAATTTAGCATTTAAGTTATTAGTCTAGACCTATACCAAGTGGCTCACACATCTCCAGTCTCATCAAATCTCTAAGAGAAACTGCTACTGTTTTGATAAAAAGACCACATACCTGTAAATAAGTATTCCATGAGCATAATTATATATTAAATGATCGAAACCCTTGCGAACAAGATACAAAAATATCTGTTTTTAGAATCAGAAGATAAAAATATAGATATCAATAAAATTTAAACTACCATAATGGAACTGTTCGTCTCCAGTATAATTGCACGACCAACGGTTTTAATGAGATGATTAAGACTCCATTTGATTTAAAGTTGTAGCAGAATTCTAGGAAAATTACCTTGTTAATGTTTTATGTATATTTTAATTGCTTTCGAGATAGGGAGAAAAATGACCAAGTTGATCACTTGTTGCTTAGTGCATGACAAGTAAAGGTAATTGAACAAACTATATCATTGTTTCCATCTAAAAAGCTTAGTGTTTATTCAATACATACTATAGGGAACAAAAAGCTTAGTTTTTATTCACTACATACTATAGGGAACGATATCAACGGATTTTCATGCACTTGTTCACTCTCTTTACTCAATAGGGAGTCCGCAAAATTAGCTTAATAGGGATTCCACCAAATGAGCTTAATAGGGAGGGCATCAGATTTGTGATCCAGAGGTCGCTGATGTATTTCTGGGATGAAAAGTAATTAAACCCTGACAATGCATAGATACCTGACCTGTCTTATTCTAATTATCATATTTGTTGATACAATCATAATTTAACCACAACATGTTTGTTAGCAAAAGAGCATATGTTCATGCTTGTTGTTAAATCTATTGTTAT